CAAATAAAAAAAATGATTCCTCATTTGTTTATTTATCTCTTTATATTAAATTGTTCAATTACTACATCTATGATGTATCCTTTGTTGCTTTTTTAACAAGCATTTTAAACGCTTTTTCATTTAATTAAAAACTGCATTTAATTTGTTAAGTTGGACTATTTTTTTATAGCTATAATTTCAACGAGTTACATGTTTAGATTTTGATGGATATGATAATAATTTTTTTCTTAAAATACGAACTATATAATTTTTGTTGCGATGAACATGTGCTTTTTCAACCTTGTTGATCATCATTGTTGAAATTTCAGGATGCAGGGTCGTATGCCATTTATTTTCTCTTCAATACATCTGCTTATTAATAAAATAAGAGTATATTTTTTAATGTGGCGAGGAGTCTTGTCATTCGTTGTTAAAACTAAAAACCAAATGTGAAATTATATGCCTTATATAAATAATAGCAAAGTATTAAAGTAATGTATATGTATGTATGTATAGCAAGGATGGTAACAATTAAACAATTGAACTCTGTTAGCATATATATAGTTTAATTTTGCATGTGTTGTTGCAGTCTTCTGAAGCAGGTGGTGTTTTTTGGAGCTTATGCCAATACTCTAGAGAGATAGAAATATCACGGTGTAATGCATTGTCAAGTGTGATTCCATGTTATGCAGCAGGACAAAGCCAAAAGCTTCAAGTGCTGAAAATAAAGTTTTGCAATGGGATGAAGGAGGTATTTGAAACTCAAGAGACAAGCAGCAACAAAAGTGGTTGTGATGAAGGTAAAGGTGGTACACCAACACCAGCAATTCCAAGAATAAATGATGCTATTGTCCCTAAACTTCCATACCTAAAGATATTGGAAATCGTAAGTTGTGAGGGTTTGGAACATATATTCACATTCTCTGCACTTGAAAGCCTCAGACATCTCAAAAAGTTAAAGATATGGAATTGCAAGGCAATGAAAGTGATTGTGAAGAGGGAAGAATATGCATCAGCATCATCATCAAAGAAGGTTGTGGTCTTTCCTCGTCTGAAATCTATTGTACTAAAAGCTCTACCAGAGCTGGTGGGTTTCTTCTTGGGGATGAATGAGTTCCGGTGGCCATTATTGGATGAAGTTGTGATCGAGAAATGCCCAAAAATGATAGTGTTTGCATCTGGTGGGTCCACAGCTCCCAAACTCAAGTCTATAAAAACAACCTTTGGTATATATAGTGTTGATCAACATGGTCTGAACTTTCAGGTATAACTTTTTCTTTATTATTCTTACCACGTCATCCAATTAAGTAAAAATGTTTTAATTAATTCATTTAAACAACGTTACATATGGATAACTAATTGCTTTATGAGATCAAAATTCGAATTTTTCTGTTTGGGGTAAGTAATTGCCATGATCATCTTTAATAATAATTATAATCACCTCATTGATATTTGTTATTACTCTTACAATTTCGTTATATTTATGGCATATGACATTTCAAATTCATGGTGTTTGTTTCTTTGTTGAACTTGCAGACCACATTCCCTCCTACTTCAGAAAGGACACCTTGGTCTTTTCATAAGTTGATTGAATTAGATGTGAAACATAGTCATGATGTTAAAAAGATTATTCCATCTAGTGAGTTGCTGCAACTGCAAAAGCTGGGAAAGATTCGTGTGAGTGGTTGTAAGATGGTAGAGGAGGTATTTGAAGCATTGGAAGAATCAGGGAGAAATAGAAATTGTAGTAGTGGACGTGGTTTTGATGAATCGTCACAAACTACTACTACTCTTATCAATCCTCCAAACCTAACACAACTGGAGTTAGTGGGATTAGATCGTTTAAGGAATCTATGGAAGAGAAATCAATGGACAGTGTTTGAGTTTCCAAACCTAACAAGAGTTGAAATTAGTGAATGTGATAGGTTAGAACATGTGTTTACTAGTTCCATGGTTGGTAGTCTATTGCAACTCCAAGAGCTATGTATAAAGGACTGCGGGCATATGGAGGAGGTCATTGTTGTAAAAGCAGAAGAAGAATCTGATGACAAGACGAATGAGACACTTGTGTTACCTCGTCTAAACTCCTTAACACTTAAAAGTCTTCCACGTCTTAAGGCGTTTAGCTTGGGAAAGGAGGATTTTTCATTACCCTTATTAGATTCTTTGGCAATCAGCTACTGCCCAGCAATGACGACTTTCACCAAGGGAAATTCCACTACTCCACAGCTAAAAGAAATAGAAATAAATTATAACTCGTTTTATGCAGGGGAAGACATCAACTCCTTTATAAAGATGAACAAGAGGTAAACTAGTTTCTTCCTTTAATAATTAGTAAACTACATATGAAAAGTTTTTTTTGATACTGTCAAAATGTGCTACCAATATTTACAAACTTAATTATGTAATTTATGCAGGAATTCAGAAAAGAGAAAGACTGATTAAAGTCAAGTGCATATTAAAGGTAAATTCTATTTCCAATCTCTTAATTGCCTATTAATGGCCTTTTAATTCATGATTTTTGGATGTCTTCTTCATGATGACGTTAATGTTCTAATACCCCATTGATTGTAGTGTTAGCCATCTAAACCAAACAACTATGCCACCAGTATTCAAGGGGAAAATTGTTGATCATCTAAATAAGATCTGAAGAAGAACACGGTTGCTATGAAGATGTTCACGAATGAGGAAAAAATGTGTAAAACTAATAACAAGATACATGTTGATTTAAGTATGTTAGTTGAAGATATTAATTTTAATATTTAAAATTTTTTTGTTATCATTACGTGGGTTTACGAGTGTTAATGCGATGATGAGTGACTTAAGCTAGATTATGTTGTAGTAGATGTTGGACTCAATTACAGAAAAATAGCAATTGGTTGTGAAAAATATATGCAAAATACAATAGCGAAATACTGGAAACTTAAATGATAAGATTAAAATTTTTAATGAAAATATTACAAAACTAAGAGCTTTTTCACTACTAGAAACAGGGGTATCAGCGACCGTCAATTCCGTTGCATCCGTCGCTGAAGGCCATCAGCGACGGAATTTGCCAGTCGAAAAAACCCTTGTTGCTAATTGTCAGCGATGGACTAGCGACGGATTTAGCGACAGATTATTGACAGATTAGCGATGACACAAACTGTTCAGGAGCCTCTAGATTCCGTCACAAATCTGTCGCTAATCCGTCGCTGTTGGATTATTTAGCTGTCGAATACCTTGTTGGGAAAGCTTTAAAAACCAGTGGATTCTGTCGCAATTTCTATAGCTAATTACATTTATAGCAATAATTTTGTTGTTCTAAATATATAACCAGAATCTACAAAATGAAACTCAATGCATACAATAAACTATAATTAAAATTCAAGTACTAAATTAGCTAATAATATTTGACTAGCAAAATGAAAAAATTAATACTCCATTTTAAAGTATCAAAACCAAATAACAATAATCAAGTGTCAAAGGCTAAACCGATTTTATAATATCAAAACCAAATTACAAAAATCAAGTGTGCAAGTCTAATTAATTGGGTAGGTTACTTCCTTGAGTGGGTTTTAAGATGTCGTTATACATATTGACAGTTTCTTGTATTTTGTCCCCAATTTCTTCACGTTCCGCACATAACTCATCCTTTATCTCCTCATGAATACGATCAAGAATAACATACAAAGCAAACACTTTGTATAAACGTACTTTTAAAAACGTGGTTTGCACAGGATCAAATAGTGATTGTGGACAGATGGTTGATCCTCTATGTGTGGCTACATAAGATGCTCTACTACTAAATAATATATATAAAAAAAGAAACAAAAAGAAGAAAATAAGTAGTCATTTTTAGAATCAAATTTTATGGGATCAATTTAGTTATAGATGCTTACAATTTCACCCTTCAATAAAAAATAAAAAAAAAATAAAAATAAAAAAAAATAAAAAAAAAAAGAGTTGAGAGATTCCCGATTAGCTGAAAAATCCATACAAAAAGGAATAATTTATCGGTAATTATGATTCCATTCCATTATACATTTTATAAGACAAAATAATCAACCAACCATTATACATTTTATAACACAAAATAATCAACCAACCATCTGTAACTATGACTCCATTCCATCAAAACGTATACCTTGACTTTTGAGGTTAACATTATGATTCCTCAAATCCAAATTGACATCAATTTGTTACAAATTTTATACTGAACTTAGCAAAGTTTTCTCAATAATTAATTCATTAATCGGAAATGTGGAAAGGATAGAGTCGTTCATCCACCAACTTCTCTGTGATAAAAAATGATGCATTTTTCTACACCTCTTATATATAAATGAATTATTTCGGATTTAAACGATCCATAGAAACACTACATTACACACTCCTAACAGTCTACATACAAACATTGATCAAATTTAACACAATAACTAAACATAAAATTACTGAATATATGTAGAAACCAGAAAAAGAAAACTCACAATTTTGAGTGTACTCTGCAAATTCTGAGCAGCATCGTAAGCCAGGTAAAACAACAAGAACACCCAAATTAGAATATGAATTTCTCTGCTATGAATAAGTGTTTGAGTTCCATTTTGATTCTCATCAACAAGCGATGATTCCTCATCCATGGCCATCTACTCACTCGACTAACGATTATCCTTCATATCTACAATATTGAGACGCTGACTTTATAGAATCATAGATTTGGGGAATGTAGATTAGAATAGTCTTGAAAGTGTCGAAAACATCAAAACATACCTGGAATCATGGAGATTGGCAACAGAAACTCGAAGAACCCATAATGTGGTGTTTCAATTTCGTTGTCGACACCTCTAAGAGAATCTGAGGTGTACTTAACGTCATGAATCGGCGCTATTGGGTGTGGTGGCGGCAGAAATTGGTGATGTTAGGGGTTGGGGGTGGGGTGGCCAGAATCGACGGTCGTGGAGGTAAGGAGTGACGGGTTGAAATTAGGGTAAGATATTTTTAGAGGGAGAATTTGGGAGGGAGATATAGGGGGGAACGAAAATATTGAGAGAGAATTGAAAATGAGACAAAATATGGGAGGGAACCAGAGATTAGCGATCTGATTTCCGTCGTTGATCCCTAGTAAAGGCAGCAAAACCACAATAAGAAACATATTCCAAAAGAGGATCACAAATCCGTACAGTTTGCAACTAAAACAACCTGATAGGTACATTTTATTTATTTTTTCTAGAGTTTATATAAGCTTATTTTTTCTTTTATTTTTAGTTAATCTTCTGCATATTTTACTTTTTGTTATTATATATTTATTTTCGGGTACTTTCTAGTTTTTGTGTTTGATTTCATATTTTTCGAAGACAATTACGAGCGAGGATGATCAACGGATTAGTGGGATTATTGATTATTCAAGATCCGATGATATGGGTTTTGGAGAGTTGACGGAGATGATCTTTGGCTAGTATTGGGCTTCTTAGATGCACTATGGACCTCATAACTCATATATTTTTGGTGGTGGCAAGCTCAAACAAAGCAACAATGAACGCACTACAAGAAAAATAGACATCTATGACTAAACAATCAAAGACCGGTTAATAGATACCATGTATTTGAACCGATGATAATATCTACAACTAATTTTCATGTTTGAATAAAGAGAGACTAATTAGACTTATTCAAGACTAAAATTTAGTGTCTAATACATTTATGCTAGTTTAGGTTTGCAAGGAAACATATTTAGCATCACCACTATTACCGTCGGTAATAGCTTAAGTCCATTTCATCCCCATGTCAACATTCTACTTTCTCACTATCACTCCCACTTCTCTTCCTCGGCGATTACGACTCCACTTTAACCATTTGGAAAACTTAAGGCCATTCACAAGTCAGTTATCACCTTGACCGACAGGAACACCACCGGGGTTTTTATACCGGCGATTTTGGGGCGTTTACCAGCCATTTTGGGACGTTTACCGGCGATTAGGTGTGTTTTCGGTGACCCTTCCACCACAAAACCGCCGCCAGTTGGTAATTTCTCATCCCTCCTATCGGTTTTTCTCCTACGAATTGTGTCCTCTCTAAGATAATTTTTTTTGTAATCAAGAAATCCACAAACAGCCATTGTTACTGCTGCGGCGAGGCGCCATTGCATATTTTTCTGGCATAAACACCACCACAGATGCTTATAATTTCGAATTCAGGTAAGTAATTCTCTTTGGTATGCAAATAGATGGTATTTGGTATGCAAATAGATGGTACTTGAGCTAAAACATATGGTATGCAAATTTTTATGACCTAAAATAATTATAGAATTATTTTGGTCATATTCAAGGTTATGATAAGAAATGTAACGATTATTACATAAATTTGATAGTATGCAAACATACGGTATTTGGTATTTAGTATGCAAATTTGTTTAATCCAACAGTTTAAATGTTTATGAGTGCATTTTGTTTATGTTTATGTGTATCTGGTAAGCAATCATGTATGTGTGTATGAATGTACGCATATGTGTATTTGTATGTATTATATATATATATATATATATATATATATATATATATATATATATATATATATATATATATATATAATTGATGTATGTGTATTGTGTATATGTGTCTTTGTATGCAATCAAAATTTTATGTGTGTATAATGTATGCATATGTGTATTTGTATATATTGTATATATATATATATATATACATATGTGTGTGTGTGTGTGTAGGTATGATGGATATATGTGTATTTGTGTGCAATAAGAATTTATGTATGTAGGATGTCTTAAATTCTTATGTCTTAATTAGGCAAGCCTCAAAACTACAATGCTATAATTAAAAACAAAAAAAGTAGGATGATATAAATCGTAATGTAATTTAATGCTATAATTAAAAAATAAAAAGTAGGACGCTATAATTCATTTTGTCATGTAAAGTATAATGTATAACAGAAACTTTATTTCGATTCCTAGTGTATGTGTATTTGTAATATATTTGTATATGTATATCTTATAATGTTGTAGGAAATGGTGTCGATATGGCTCTTATTTTTGTAAATCATGGTGGTTGTTATGGGTCCTGGACATGGGGATGACACTTGAAAAGTTGGAACAAGTTCATAATAATCCCAACCTATCTGTTAACAACAACATAACTTTAGCCTACTTTTCCTTTTTAGATTCATTTCCATCATCTTAATCTTAATTTGGTTGACTTTCTGTATCAGTTTGTAACTTGTGGTTTGGTTTCATTCATGCTCCAGATTGACTTTGTTTCGTAGCTACTTTCCAAACTCGTAAGTAAACGCATGAGCGACTTGATCATAAAAACCATTATATATATATATATATATATATATATATATATATATATAGAGAGAGAGAGAGAGAGAGAGAGAGGAAATAAATGTTTGTGGTTGTGTATAGGTATGGAGAATCCTAAAATTTTGGGTTGGATTTTTGAAATGCATTTCACAAACACAACCACATTCTTTTCGTGTTTTATTAAAAGTAAGTATGCCCCCTTGTTCACTTTCACTTTCATATTTTGTATTTGATTCTTTTTGGTTTATATTAAGTTATATATGAAATATGATTATTGCTTGTTAATGATTACAGTTTCCTTCACCACAACTTGAGGATGCTCTGGACAAGTATGGTAGCCTACAAAGTCCCCTTGCACAATATTCCAATCAACCTAGTATCAAAAACTCCTTGCCTAGGTACCTAACCCTATCTACCTACCTATATTTTCAAAAAATTCTAATTAGAAAATATAGTAATGACTTAATAGTAGTGGATTTGTCCTTGTGATATGTGTTTTGGTCAAATCTACAAAGAGGCATGACTCCACCCCACCCTTGCTACTTTCCCAGAGTAAATATAGTTCAAGATAACAATCGCATCTTATCACATGTTGAGGCCCTCTCTCTCTCTCTATCTCTCTCTCTGTAACATCCAGTTTTCCAGATATATAATATTTTATCATTTTAGTTTGAGAATTTCATAGGGACTCGACAAGTTGGTGCCTCAACTCATTGAGTATGGACGCGATTGTTGACGTGGATAAATGAATGGACTTGACAGGTCAGAGAGCTGACTCGCAGAGTCAGCGCTGATGAGGTAAACCCTAATATTCTAGGCTTGAGGCCTATATAAGGACCTTATGGCCTCCCATTGCGGCCATATCTTCCAGAGAGCAACCCTAGAGAGCCATTGATCGAGTAGAGTGTGTGTGTGAGAGAGAGAGATAGAGGGAGAGCTACTTTGAGCTTATTAGTATAACTTTTGCACGAGAGAAGGAGATTTCAAGCTAGAAGATCAAAGGAGGCTGTTAGATCTAAAGATCTCATTCAGAGGACTTCAATTGGAGGTATTATATTCGGCCCTTTCTTTCCTCAATTGTGTAGATAATTATTTTGGGGGTTAGGGTTTGTAATACCCTCTTGAATGGGGTTTTGGATGCATCAAATTCCCTTTCTATGCTTGTGTTGTAGATCTGGACCTTGTGAGGTCCAGAGAGCCCGAAAGTAGAAAGTTATGGTTGTGTAACCATGGGGTTTTGGAGCTTGAGAGCGTTAATGGAATCTTGATGGTTTATAGAGCAATATACACCATGCATGGACCCCAAGTTAGGACCTTTACATGACTTTTGGATGCTAGGAGGCTAGATCTATGTTTTAGAGTTGTGGATATGACCTTAGTCGATCAAATGAGAGGATTGTTCAGATGACTCGCCGAGTCCATGAAGCGACTCGACGAGTCAGATCGGGTCTGACCCAGGACCATTGACCCAGAGACAACTCGTTGAGTTGGGAGTCAACTCGATGAGCTGAGTTAATCTCGGTGAGAACAGTGAAGAAACGTGATTGGAATCGTCGAGTCACATGGGTGAACTCAGCGAGTCATGTCAACTTTGCCTGTTGAATTCGTGTGTGGGTCAGTTAGGGACTTTTTGGATATCTAGAGGGGTATAAGGGTCTTTTACCTATCCTGAGGGTTAGAGGGTAAACAAAGAGGACTTTATATATATATAAAGGGGCCAAATAGTGTTCTTGATTGAGTTGCTCGTCTATATTGTTAGGTGGAGGCTAGTCCGGATTACCACGTGTGTATCTATTTCCTACTAGTCACGAGGTGAGTCTTCCCACTATACATACCGTGAGGGGGTAACCTACGTGTGACCGGGAGGGTCTTATGTGCATGCTCTGTGTTTGAGATATCGTATACTGTGATATTCTCTTTATTGTTTTGTGATATGTATGTTATGTTTATTTGAGTATTGAGCAAAGGGATCAGAGGATCCAATCTGAGTTGTGGACTGGAGGGTCCCACTGAGACACATTGACCAGAGGGTCTTATTGAGTTACAACCTCAAGTGGCTAATGAGCTGTGTGTGGTATTTTGGGGAACTCACTAAGCATTTATGCTTACCATGTTATGTGTTATGTGTTTCAGGTACTTTCGAGGACCGTGGGAAAGCTCCGACATGATTGTACACCTGCATCGAGAAGGAGTGATGATCTTGGATTTAGAATAAATGTTTTTGGAAAACTTTGTGAACACTTTTTGGAATTATGATATGACTTATGTTTTATGAATTTAAAAACGAATATTTGGTTGAAAATTTTTGGTTGTTACAAGTTGGTATCAGAGCCTTGGTTTGAGGGATTCAGATGCACCATCGGGTACATTTGAACTCAAACTGAGGATTTGAGAAGATTTTCAAAAAGAAAAGAGTTTTCTAAAAGAGAAAGAGTTCAAGAGAAATCGAGATGGAGCAGTGTGTACAATCAGCCAGAGCCCGAACGGTGACTTCCCAAAATACCCTCACTTACTTACTTGTGCTATGAAAAAATTAATGAAATAATAGTGATGCATGCTAGAGAATAAGCTAGGTATTCCATATCTTAGGGCTAGGATGCCTCATTTGTGATGCCTTAGCTTAGGAATCGTAATTATTTGTTATGTGCTATGTGTATGTGATCATGAGAGTCGAGAACATGAGCATTTAGAGTAAGAGAGTTGAGACGAGATTAGTTCTGATGTTGAGAGGGGTATAGTGCTTGGGAATTAGAATCGTAGGAGGAGGACTTGGGATGACTACAGGCCGGATGTGGAAGGTAGTATTGGGCTCGTACTACTGAAAACATCAGATATGTATGCAACCTAAGTAGAAATTCTTAGGGAGCTAAGGAACAAGTAGGGAAAATGATCGAGTGTGAGTCTACTCGAACTAGTCTTTGACATGTTTGTGTTATGTTTCAGAGACATCATGGTGGGGACACACCCAGAAGGCGGTGGGGCTAGTGATGAGGATATATAGAGGATCATTCATGAGGAGGTGGCCGTAACCATCCGAGTAGAGATTCCTAAGATGTTTGGGTCTATTAAGACCACCTTGATTGAGACTTTCGACGAGCGATACGCTGCTATCACTGAGGATGCTGCTGCTGCCGCCACTGCAGCTATCGCTGCTACTAGACCTCAGGGAGGTGACTCGTTGTTGTTTCGGGATTTTAGCAACACGAAGCCACCGGAGTTTGACGGGACTCAGGACCCGATTGTTGCGATGAGATGGATGTTTGACATTGTGTAACATCCGGATTCTCGGGGTATGATAATTTCATTATTTTATTATTTATTTATGGAGGGACTCGACGAGTTGGTTCCTCAACTCGTCGAGTAGGGGAGGATCCTTCCACGTGTTTTCACGACCAGACTCGACGAGTCGGGTATCTGATTCGCCGAGTCGGTGCTGGCAAATGAAACCCTAATCCCCGAGTTTGTGAGCCTATTTAAAGGCTCTTATGGCCTTCATTTGCGGCTATGTTGCCCCTGAGAGAAACCTAGAGAGCAGAGAGTGAGTTTGAGAGCTTGAAGAGGCAAATTTCATCATTCTGGTGTGGTTCTTGCTAGAAGGAAGAGGAGATCATCAAGCTAGGGAGTGTGGGAAGCTTAGATCCGTGATCATCTGCTTGGAACATCATTCCTGGAGGTATAATTCTTTCCTATTTCATTTTGATGAATAGGATTCCATGATTTGAGGGTTTTTCCTCCATTTCCATATGAGATCTAGTGAGTATGAGACTCCCTTTTTGCTATTAGCATCAGATCTGGTCTATAGGGGGTCCATAGAGCCATTACCCTTCAAC